CCCCTTCTAGTGGCGGTGAGGTGGTCATCTCGGCGTCGAGCAACCTCCATAGCCGCTTGCATCGATTCGGGCCGCTCTAACCGTACCTCGGCAGCTAGGTCGAACTTCAGCCCTCCAATAAACGCTCCCACCAACGCGGTCTCGGGCCAGCCACGTACGCGATATGCCAATCGCTCGAACTCCTTTAGATAGTCGCGCAAGCTTCCTGTTTGCCGTATGCGTGATAGCGCCTCATTGTAGTTGTGGTAGTCGGATGTTCCGAAACGCGTAAGTAACTCGCGCTCGAAGTCGTTCCACCTGATGACTTGTCGTCGGCCACGGTAGACGCTTGTAAGCCACTGCCACCACACGTTGGCTTCTCCATCAAGATAGTAAGCAGCGTACTTTACCCGATCGCTGCCTTCGATCTCATTCAGCTCGAAATATTGGGCAGCCCGGTTGAGCCATGCATCGGGATCTGCGCCGGTGAAGGTGGATAACACGAGCTTTGGCTTTTCTGGCTTCGGTCGGTCGTGGCGGTTAGACGCCTGGGACCGTCGGTCGAAGTCGTCTTCCCGCTCGTACTCCTCGCGTTGTTGCTCGCGGTCCACGTCTCGCTCGTGCTCATCATATCGCCGTTCCTCGTCGTGTCGCTCACGGTCATGGCGTCGTTCGAGCTCTCGGTCCTCGCATCGTCGCGCTTGGTCATCGTCATGCTCGCGTTCGCGGCGTCCTTCATGATCGGGCCGATCGCGATTGGGTCGTCGGGGCGGTGATTGGCGCGCCATCATGTTGCGCGTCATCTCATCGAAACGGCGGTTCATGATCTCCATCAATTCATGAACAGATGCCTTAGTTATATCGAGCCCGTCGCCTAAGGTATTCATGGCCTCGCTCATACTACGGACTTGAACATCGAGATTATCGATCTTGTCTTTCATCTCTTTGTTGGCACGCAATCGCACCCTTCGCCAGCGTGACTATCTCGTGCGTGTCGCCCAGCTTGCCTAAGCCTACTAGGCCTAGGTCTTCGCCCATCCCACATGTGTCGCCAACTGCACACGCGGCTCGCCCATGCGCCGTTGTTCCTAAGCTTCGCGCGCATGCGCACCACTCGCGCCCCATCGCGCGCCCGCCCATCTGGTTACCCAGCTTCCGCGCGTCATTGGTAACCGCGCGGCTGCTGCCCACGCTGGATAACCTCGCGCTATTCCCACGCATGCCCACTGGCCCGCGCATCCCGCTCAGCGCCCCAGTGCTCCATTCGCCTACTGCGCGCCTACGTGTGCCCAGCGCTGTCCGCGTCCTTCCGACCGCCCAGCAGTCCTCGCCTATTGTGGACTTCTCGCTAGATGGGCCTTGCTTGCCTGTTGGGCCTATCTCACACGGCCCTTC